TGTTAGCGAGCACCTATTATGGCCGGAACAGTAGCGCACGAGGGGGGCAGTGTGACCGGCTCCACGCCCGACCGCCTTTGTCTCCCGAGTGGCGATGTTTTCACATTGCACCAGGTACTCATTTGAGGCTGATTCAGCCGATGGGAGGCCAAGGTCTGGTTCCGTTATCGTCACTGGTGTTGGCCGTGAATGGGAATCGAGGCGCACGCACGCACGCGCACGCGCGGGATGAGTGCGATTATCACGCGGAGTGGCGTGCGCCCAGGGAGAGGCGAGGAGGGATGAGACCAATTTATTAGGAGGAGAGGTGCGGGAGGTCGGAGACGGAGAGTGCTTGATGGGGTTTCGCCCGGGTTTCTCTCAGGATTTCTCAAATTAAATTTCTCAAGCGCGCCAACCTTTCACCAAGCCACTCCGGACTCCCAAGGCGGAGGGAGGCGACTCCGCCATCGCGGCACGCGTGGGGGCAAGCAGCCGGGCGGCAGGGCCGTAGGGTTTGAGGGGACTGGAGGGGGGCTGAGCCCCCCCCCCCCCCGATCTAGAATCTTCACTTGAAAATTGATTCCCTGCTCAAACGAGCATTGGGAGGGCGTTCATCTCCTTCTTACAGCTCTGAGCCGGCGGTGGAAATTCCACACGCCTATGGTGAGGACGAGTCTATCCCCAGGACAACCACCGTCAGACTCCCCCCACAAAACGTGGAGGGATGATGGGCTGAATCAACCACAAACCGGGATTCCAACTCGCAGCATCGACTGCTTGTTGTGTTTGTTGGTCCTTCCCCCGCACTTACGATTAGGACGGTTGGCTACGTAGGGTGCTAAAGAAGTTCAACATACATACAGTACATACATACGTTGTGAAGTGGCAATTCGCAACCTTGATCCGTTTACAGCGGGGGGGGGGGGGGGTGCGAGCCAGAGGCAGAAGGCCCCGACAGACGAATGCGGATCGCGTCCGTTCCTCGCCTTCCCCCCGTGTCCAACCTCGGCCTCAGGTCTGCTTCACGCTGGAGTGAATGTGGTGGCGTGCGCCTCCTGAGCGTTGTGTTCTGCCATCTCCTCCTTGTCAACAAGTCGACAACGAAGGTCAGAACTTAGAGGCTTGCCGCCGGGCGGTCTGATGGGAAGCGGCCTGGAGGGTGGCGGCAACGGACAACCCCACAGAGAGAATCTCACATTTGTGGGGGGCCACGCGAAGGCGGTGGGGGCGGGGAGGGGGGAGTGCGGCACTGCGATGGTGCGAACGATTTCTTTCCCATGCGCATGTTTTGAGAAGGCTCAACGTGGACTTGGCGGCTGGGAGGTTGCCTCGTTAGCAGCAGCCACAACAAAATAAAGAGGCACCCCCAGGGCCCCGAGTGCCCATTGCAGAGATGACACGAGACAGCCTTAATTGGTAACGCTAAGCCCAAGGAATGTGTTGGGTTTTTTTTTTTACCAACGCTCACCCGTTTAAAATAAGTAATGAAAGAAATAATCCCCACAATTATAAAGATGGTGAGAAATATAATGAGCCGGAATGTGTTTCCAGCGAGGCAGGGCGTGCGGTCCAGCACCCGGCGTCTACAGCCGTCAGGCAGCACATTCGCACGTGGGCGCTGGACCAGCTGCTCGTTGTAATTAAGGGGGGGGGGGGCGATAATTGGGACTGCCGATTTAAGACGAGTTATTTATTTATTTGCGGCACACAAGCACGTTCGTTCGTTGGTTCGTGTGTCAATCCGCTTGTCCTGGTCGCGGTGTCAGCGTGTTGAGTCGTGGCGGTCCACACCTCCCTTTGCCTGGCGACAGACTCGAGCTCTTCCTGGGGAATTCCCCGGGCGTTCCCGGGCCTGGGAATGCCGCTTTGTGTTTCGGGCCTGCGTGCAGCAACTGCGTTGAACGAAAAGTGAAAAGAGTAATTCGCCGCCGGACGTGGTCTGAAAACGGGGTCACGGACGGGGTGCGGTGGGGGGTCACGATCGTACCGAGCAATGTCTTCCTCGCGTGGCGTAGAAGGCATCGCTACAACTTTGTACTGAGAGACATTTGATGGACAGTCTTTTTGTTATTTGATACAGATTCGAAGCCTAGCAACACGAACAATTTCATTTTGTACCCTCGGTAAATGCTGGGATTTTTATTTTATTTAAAAAAAAGGGTTGGCATCGGCATCCAGGGAAACCTTCTCATTCATCGTGCAAGCAATTCCCTTGGGGCAAGGGGACTCTTCAAGTCGATTTGTTTCACCGGGCGAGAACTCGAGAGGCCGGGGGTGGTCCCATTTGCAAGAGTGACCTGGGTCGTGCAGAGAGAGAGCTGGGTGACAGACACCGGGCGGACCGCTCCCCATCGACCTCAACGAATACAATCCCGCTCACATCCTCTGCGTGATATCGCATTGGCAGCGGTGCATAGGCACACAGCAAAAAAACTCAGCGCGTTACTCAAACAACACCGGCCGGAAGGAGGGAAAAAATATACGCGATGACGTTTTGGACAACGACCCTTCTCAATGGAAATGTTGTTTTGGCTCCGTTGGAGCTTAACGGGCTATCGCCACAAACGCACGCTGCTCCAGCACGGCGATTCGCGAGCGAATGCGATTGGCGATTTTCATTTTGTCGCCCTTCCCAGATTAGGCGCATCCGGCGATTGTGGAAAAGCCGAGGGCACAAAGCCCTCTCGCCGGCCCATTAAGGGCCCCGCTAACCGGCGGCACGCCCCAGGGCTTCCGCACGCGCGCCAAGACCGCGGGGCGGTGCGCCGACCCTCGACCGACCCTCACAGCCTGCGGAGGCTGCAGGAGAACTCACGCCGGCGCCGCTCGCACGCACCGGAGAGGAGGAGGGGGTGTGAGTTAGCTTCTGTTGAGTAGCAGGCCGGTGCTGAATCCATGCCATGGGCATGAGAGCAATAGTAGTCGAGGCTGATGAGAGGGCAGGTAGGACCCTCCTAGAAAGTCAACACGTTCATCTAAAACTTATATATTTCCGCGTCTCCGAATGTACTTCTTGAAATCAATTTGCGCGTTTTAAATGTCATTTTGCATGAATATGACGTATCAGGCCACGGCCCTTGACAAATGCGAGTTTTTTAGGAGGGTCCTGCCTGGCATATCTGCACAATGTCGTTGTTGTCATGACATCTGTTTTAAGATGGGACAGAAACAGGGGTAGCCAGTGTTCACGGATCAGTGTTTGGCGCATGGAAGACATTCCAAAATTCACGTTATGGGAACCGGTCCTGTCCAAAGGAGATGTACACTCACCGGGTGAAGATTGTTAAACGTATTCTTTACAACAACAAAAACGTGAAGCAGTGGATGATGTAAGTTTTAAAAAAAAAACTTTATTTCACCTTTTCCAATTTCTGCATTTTTGATTGCCTCACTGGACTAAGAAAACAACTCCATCAGATTCATGTTGAGAGGAATGAAAGCGATTAAAGTGTGTGTGTGTACGTGAGATCGTGGTACATGTGTGCAAGCTTAGGGTGTTGTGTGTGTCCTGGTTACCGCGGAGAGTAGTGGCGCAGCAGTTAGCGCATTGCGTTACGAAACTGGCGACGCGAGTTCGATTCACATTCACGGCCGACATCAGTGACAAATATCTGAACCATTCCTGGGCCTCCCCTAGGTCGACTCAGTCTCGAATGAGTACCTGGTGCGGCGTGTAAACATCGCCACTAGGGAGAGAGAGGCGGTCGGGGGTGGTGCTGGCCACCCACTCCCCTCGTGTGCCGTGCCGACCTTTATTAGTGCTCGCGAACAGCACTTGCCCCAACAGTCTGATAAGGCTTTACGGGGGATCTTTGTATTTGTGTGTGTGTGTGAGACCTTGGTACCGTACACAAAGCTGGGTGGTGTGCGTGCGATTGTGCGCGCGCGTGTGTCACTGACACACCCCGCGTAAATTTGAACGCCTATCCCAGCAACGAACGTCAAGATTGGACCCGACCCGGCCCTTAACCCGGCCGCGTTACCGGCCTCTGTGTTCGAGTGGAGTAATCCCGTAAGCGGCATTACGCGCACCCAGAAAATCACCGCTTAGTATCAAAACCGTGTCCCCTTTAAGACATTGGAGTGATGGGTGTACGCCTGGAATGTAAGGATCCGACATTCATGGGTGCAAGATGATAAACAATAAAAAAAACTAGTTTTTTTATACCATTGTAAATATCGAACGTCTCAAATTGTTGCAAGAAACAGCTTTCAAAACTGTAAAGTACCCAATTTTCTGTAAGGGGGAAACATAAAGAGACCAATAATAAATAAAAATAACAAGAAGAGATGACAGGATAACGACGGCGATGCCGAACGCAGCGGCGAGTTATTGCAAGAACGGTGGACGATGCGAGCAGTGGAAGATCTGAGCGGTGGACGATGCGAGCGGTGGACGATGCGAGCGGTGGAAGATCTGAGCGGTGGACGATCTGAGCGGTGGACGATGCGAGCGGTGGACGATGCGAGCGGTGGACGATGCGAGCGGTGGAAGATCTGAGCGGTGGACGATGCGAGCGGTGGACGATGCGAGTTGTGGATGATGCGAGCGGTGGACGATCTGAGCGGTGGAAGATGTGAGCGGTGGACGATGCGAGTTGTGGACGATGCGAGCGAGTGATGGGCAGAGCCACCCTCAGTTAAAGCAGTCGTCGTCGTCGTTGTGACATCTCCTTCACCTCGTGTGACCCCCCGGGCCCCCTCCCCACTCCCCCTTCGGAACAACGATAACAGAACCAAAAGCACAACTTCATCTAAAATGTTCTTAAATAACAATTAAAAAATAATTATCTTCTGTTTTGCTTTCAAAAGTAGATATATCATAAACGCACGCGACACAAAAGTGTTCCTCTGCAGGCTCCCAAACAGAACAAAAACAGTCAAAGCAAAGCCACGTGTGCAGTAAGCTCCACTTTCATCCTGCCGACTACAAACTTCACAGTGCCTCGAGCAGGACTCCAGAGTCTCTGCCGGTTGTTATTTGTTTTATTCCCTTTCCCCTGCTAACATTTCTCCTCTTTTCTTTTTCTGCCTTTGCTTAAATACAGTAAAACGTCCCCACTCCCGCGGCGCGGTCAACTCGTCGATCGCGCCGTGCCTGGCAGAAAATGCACCTTGCTCTGTAAACCCAGGACCGACCCTCGACGCCCGACCCACAGAGGTCGCCCCCCCCGACCCCCCCCCCCCGCTCACCGCGCGACCTTTTGAAGGCGAGCGCCGTCGCCGTAGCCCCCCACCACGGAGCAGTCGCCCCTCCGGTGATCACGGGCGGATTTATTTTGTGTTGAACAAAATCTAAAAACTTCGACCGCGTGCGTGCTGGTGGCGACGGCTCTCTGTGGGGGGGGGGGGGGGGGGGGGGGGGTCGCATCCCGACGTCCGCTCTACGCGCTGCGAGATTCTTCGGGAAACCGAACGAAGCTGCCGCCACGTGTGGAACGAAACGTCGGACGTCGCCCCAGAGCGCGCGTGCGCGCGCTCCGACCCGAAGCCACGCTAAAGAGGAATCGAACTACCGCGGCTTCTTCTCCACGTCTCTGGTGGAACTTCCAGAAGCTCCGTTTCGTCCGCACCTCTCGGGAATGAGCGAGGTGGGGAGGGGCGCGGTGTCGGCCTGCAGTGGCGCGGTGGTGGTGGTGATGGGGGCGAGAACGTGCACAGCGCGTTCCGCTCGGGGCGTAAAACAACATCTCGGACGATTCCGTGTCGAAGACATAAATGACGCACGAGTACACCCCGTCTAATAAGGCATCGGCAAAGCGCCTCGCGGGCCGTGTCGCGTTGTCCGCCACCTGCGCCCTTGGGCAGCGCCTCCGTTCCGAACCGAGCGGCGGAGCGATCGCCGCGACGTGGGGCCGGACGGGCGCATCGCGCCCTCGTGAGCGCGAGCCGCCTGCCCCACGCGGCTCGCGGCCTCGGAGCGGCGGTTAGCGCACCGAGCCGCGAACCCGGTGGCCAGAGTTCAATTCGTGGTCACGGCTAAGTGACAACTTAACCGGTCCTAGACACCCCCCTACCACTCTACCAACCCCCACTGACCGGCTTGGTGGTTGCAAGTAGGTGTGTGTGTGTGTGCCAGCCGTGTACTAAAGTACACACGCACGCGTGTGTGTGGCTAAATGACATTGTGACTCCGTGACAAACGTCAACTGGGTCATTCAGCGTCAATTCTCAGTGCGCCGGAGAGTTCGTTACACAGTTTCTGTGATGCGATATTTCACGGCGCCGCCAGCTCGCTCTCTGCCCCCCCCCCTCCCCCAGCAAGCCGGACTGCCTGGCGCTTGCGGCCTTAGAAAGGCCTTTCATGCTCTGCGAGATCATACGTTTTGTTGCAAAACAATCGATTGGTTCTCCGCCACCGCTCGCCCTGCGCTTTAGTCCACATCTGGGCCCAGCGGCTCTCAGTTGTAGCATCCGGAGACAACCCGGTCTCATCGGTGGTGACAGAGGCCACCGCCAGATGTGAAAACCAGCCCAACAGTTTTGCCTTGTTTAATAAATACTTTGATTAGGAAGGCCCATTGGGTGTGACTTAGATTTGGCAACAGAATGACCCCCCCCCGCTCCACACCATCCCTGCCCACCCCCCGCCCCTCGTTTGTTTAGTTTGTGTTGAGAATGCGTGTGGAATATCACAATTATTACTCTCACATTATCACAATTATTGCTGCTGCCCGTAGCAGTATAACAGAGCCTGCTGTTTAAATTCCGTACCGTGTTCGCGGGGCTTGTAACGATTCAAAGGCTCGGCTCCATTCGTCGGCCATTAGAAAGTCAATTAGTTTTTTTAAGCTCGATAAATATAGATGCGCTTAATCGCGGGCGTTCGTGTCGATCGCTCCCAACTCATGTGCCGTGTCACACGACCGCTGGCGACTTGGCTTCGTCCCGTTGTGGATACCAGAAGCATCACAAGGGGGAGAGAAACGAAAGACAAATTCGTGAATCGAATAATCATTGAGTTTGCGTTGAGTCGTTACATCCCGAGTCTTCGCTGTAGTGCCACGAGCCCTCTGCCCCCCCATCCCTCCTTTTCCCCCCATTCGACCCAAAACAATGACCCCGAGGCAGCGGTGCGCAGCCACGGTGTCGCTCGCTTGTGGCGGGAGCTCGAGTCGGAGAGGCAAACTCCAAAAAATAATTCGCAATTATTTTCCTTCCTTCTAAAAACCATTGCTTTATAAGTGGTTTCGTAACGCACTGTTAACTTATGGAGGCTCCGTCCCCCCCCAAGACACTTTTATTCACAGACGTCTGAGGATGGAGGCAAAAAGAACAAAACCTAAGCACAACAAGAGTTTCTGACTTACCATAGAACTACTAAAACGTCAATAAAATTACGGAATGAGGTAAGCCTTTTTAACTGGATGCTGGACCTTGTGTGCAGTTCCCGCTCGGTTCTCCCCCTCGATCGTTTAGTCCCCGCGGCGGCTCCTCCGCGGAGGTCAGAGTGCAGCGAGCGGAGCTTCTATTTTTGAGCTCCTGGATTCGTTTCGTTCGGCAAGGGGGAGGGGGGGTGAGGCCAGCCGCCCCCCGCCCCCCCCCTTAGTCGGATAAACCCCGACGGCGTCCCCTCGTCCGGATCGACTCTCCGCTACGACACGTCTGTCCGGTTCCGGAGCACCTCCCCAGCGCCGGCCGTTGCTCGTGCCACGCCGGGCCTCCGCCGCAGCCACAGCTCGGCGAGCTGGCGCCCGTCCGCGTAGGCGGAGGCCCGCGAGCCCAGGCACATGCGCAGCTGGTGCGGCGGCAGCGCGGGGTCGCACGCCACCGGGTGGTGCACGTGCACCACGCCGGGCTCCTGGCTGCGGAACGGGGCCAGCCTCGCGTGCAGCACGCGTGAGAACAGGTCCACGTCTTCCAGGCCCCAGCCGCGGATCGACGTGTCGAAGCCGCCCGCCGCCGCCAGGTCGCCGCGGTAGATGCACGTGATGCCGTAGCCGTACTCGCGCCAGAAACCGCCCCTGCGGCTCAGAGCGAAGTGGCCCGACGGGTCTCCCTCCGCCGCAGCTGGTGGCTCGTCGCCGGGCTCGCCGCGGGCAAAGCGCGGGTTGTACTCGCTGTACACGATGGGGAAATAGGCCGACGCGCCCTGCACGGTGTTAGCGCGGCAGCGGTGCAGGAAGTCGGCCGTGAACACGAGGTCGACGTCGCAGAAGAGCAGCAGCGTGTCGTTGGAGAAGAGCGACGCGCCCTCCTCGAGCGCCACGCCGCGCGAGAAGGGGCCCGGCATGCGCCGGATCTCCAACTCCGCCCGCGGGTGGCGCCGCTGGTACCGGCGCAGGACGTCCCGGTGGCGCTCGGACGTGCCGGCCGAGCTGGCCGCCGCCCCGGACGCCGCCTCGGCCGCCGCCGCCGCGGCCGGCGAGGGCCCCGTGCGCGGCTGTTCGTCGAAGAGGAGCACGAGCAGCTTGACGTTCTGCCCCGAGCGCAGGCACGTGTGCTCGAAGCTGTCCATGAAGCGCTTGAAGATGCCGAGGCGTCCCATGAGCGGCACCAGCACGTGAACTTTGCCCTCGGCCTGCCGCGGCCCGGCGGCCTCTCCGTCTCCGCCGTCGCCGCCATCGCCCCCGTTACCGCCGCCCCCGTTCCCGCCGCCCCGGTCGAATAACCGAAACGGCACGAACATCTTGAGCGGCTTGGAAAAGATGGAGAGGGAACCCCGGATCAAGGAGCCGCCTTTGCTATTGGCGGCGGCTGAGCGGTCGATGCTGAGCGCGAGCGCCTCGGGGTCGCGGATCTCCTCGGCCTCGTGGGACTCGGCGCGTACGAAGCTCTGCTGGAGGTAGGCGTGGCGCCGCACGGGCACCGTCATCTTCTTGCCGGCGTACTTCTTGTAGAGCAGCAGCAGATCGAGCACGTACTCGGCGCCGGACACGGGGTTGACGCGGGAGTAGCCGTACTGCAGCTCCTTGTAGTCGATGACGCGCCCGCGCGCGTGCGAGTTGGCGTTGATCATCTCCATCACCTGCGGGGGGGGTGGGGGGGTCAGGGTTGGGGTGGGGGTGGGGTCCGAGGGATCACGGCGGAGATTGGAGGAGAAGATCGAGATTAAGATCGAGATATCATCGCCGAAGCCGTTGAAACCACCGCTTTCTCCTCTTCCGCCAGATCTTGAGACTGCTGCTGCACGGTAGACACGCGACATCCAAGAGGATTGGGATGATGATGATCTGGCTCTGTTGGTGCACGCCTATGATCCAGCGGTTGATGGATCGCATATATTAGTGAAACTACCAAACGTGTTTGATTGACAGGTAACCGAGAGATGTCTGTGCAGTACAGCAAGTTGGTGTCTTATCCCTGTCTATGCAGAGCTTTGAGTGTCATTCCTGTCTGTGCGTGACGGGGTCTTTATCGGTACTCCTTGCAATGATTTCACCAACGTCCCGAAGCAGGACCTTCCTGCAAAACGCTGAGGTTTTTCTGAGTAAAACAAAATAGATTTTATTATTTTATTGTTGATGGATGGCCCGAGTAGAGAAAAAGGACAAAATGTAGACGAAAACAAAAGTTGAGTAATTGGAACATCCTCCCGGCCAGGAATTCTATTTTAACTTTTTCCCAAACACAAAGGCGGAGTAATTTCCCCAGGAACGTCACTGTGGGCAGGGGGAGAGGCGTCTGGCACCCTCGTGCACGGGCCCCGCTCCCATCCCCGCGGCGTCGCCAAAACGCCAGGGTCAACGACGACCCGTGGACCGCCCGGGGTCTTGTGGCCACCGGCCCCCTCATCCCCCCAACCCTCCCCCCGCCTACGTCACGAGCGAGCGCTCACGCACGACCGCACGCACCCTCATGATGATGTCGTCGAGCGCCAGCCTCATGGCCATGCCGAGGGAGCGGCGCGGCGGAGCGCCGTCCGCCGCGCTGTACTGCAGGCGGCCCGTCAAGAAGTCCCACTCGAGCACCTGGTCTCGCGACGGCGGCGTGAACCGCAATGAACGTGGGCGGCGCGCCCAGCCGCCGGTCCTCGCGCCGCGGCCGCTCCGCCGCGCCGCCGGCGCCGCTGGCGGCGCCGCCGCCAGCGGCGGCGGCGGCGGCGGCGGCCTCGCCCGCCGCCAGCTTCGCGGCCAGCGCCGCGTCACGGTGCAGCTGCAGCGTGCGCTGGCGCAGCTCGGAGATGCGCAGCGCCAGCAGCTGCGAGTGCAGCCGGTGCTGGTAGGCGGGCTGCTTGTTGGGGTGCAGCGTGATGGCGGCGCGCATCTTGCTCTTGTGCAGGTCGTGGATGTAGCCCTTGTGGTGGTGCTCGTAGTTCTCGTAGAACAGCTGCTGCATCTGCGGGGGCCGGGGGGGTACGGGGGGGGGGCAGACAGGCAGATAGCGGGGGGGGGGGGGCGGGGGGTCAGATGCTGTGCGAGCTGACGCTGGCGAGCCGTGAGTACGCTTGTGCAGGTGGCGCCGGGTGCCGATGCCGGATTCTGCGGTTTATCAGAATCGTAATCTTTATTTAGACTGAGCAATCGCTCCGGAAAGTAAGACGCAACCCCGAACCGATGCCTTGCGTCAATAGTTTATGCATTTAACGAATCTGCTCACATAATCCGCAGAATATGGTGCCGTTTAATGGACTGAGTGGGAACGATGCGACTAAAGATCATAGCAAATGTCATCTGTTAGTCATTTATCCAGGAAAGTGTCAGAAGGAGGAACCTACGTTGGCCAATTCTATTAATGAGGGTTTGGCACATGGGAGGAAACGTGAGGAGGAGGAGGAAAGCCCCAAGATTGTATATCTTAATTAAAATCAGCGATGCGTACGTCCCGTGGGGAACATGTGTGCACACCTACACGCACACCCACGCACTAAGACAAAGACACGCGCACGCGAGACCTCCACGCAGCCTGCACGAGCATCCAGAGACAACAATCACAAGCGCCGCACTGCCGCGCCGATCAAGCCAACTTGCTGTGCTGCCATCTCCGAATCACCTCGAAGCCAAGCGGCTTTACGAGTTTCGCAAATCTCCACACGCCCCGCCGAACCCTCGGCTACTGCCACCGGGCCTCGGCTGCTCTGAAACGGATTTGGACGACGGGGCAGACGCACACCATACTCTCGACCTGGCACAGGGCACCTTGGCCCCTCGACCGAGGCGGTTTTGCCAAACAGCGCACCGAGAGGGGAACCGGTGGCAGCCTGGCTAAATGAGCGAGCGAACGGACGGGCGGGCGGGCGGGCGGCGTGCAAGCGGCACAACCGTGCGGGGCCCCAGCGAGCTCGGAGGGGCCCAGGCTCTTGGCTAGGGAGAGCCGGCGGGGTGGGGGGCCCCGTGCCCACCCACGCTTCCAGGGCGCGCGCCACCGTGGCCGCATTCATTTCGATTCGCCAACGACGCAGTTTAAAAATGCAGGTATCGGGCGTAGCGTGTCAATTCCTGCAACGCACAAAACACATTTATTTATTCGCTTTGGAGGTTCGCGCCGCTCGGACACCCGTGGCGCTCGACGCACCCCGCTCGCTTTGAATCTGCGGCGTCGCGGAAGGGGGGCTGGGCGGAGCAGGGGGGGATGGTCCCGCCATTGCGCCTCGGGGTTATTTTTTATCATTAGAAATTAAATTAATTTCCTGCTGTGCCGCTTCCATTTCAGAAAATCCGGATGTACTCCCCCCCCCCCCAAACCAAATACAAACGCGAGGTAGTGGGGCGAGGCGCTTCATACCAAGCTGGTGGCTCACTGTGGGTGAGAAGGGAACATCCCCCCCTCCCCACACCTTCACCAAAGCTTTGGTTCCAGGATAATGTCGACGGCGGCGCGTGACGGATAGAATCCGTTATTTTACATTTGTATAAGCTGCATGGAATTGGTTCGCGCGATCCCGGCGCAGCCACCAGAGGCGCTACACTCACACCGCAAGGTTAAACTTGACGCTTGAATCCCGATTCGCGATATCGCCCCGAATCCGCCTGCTGCAAGGGCGTTGAGTCTATCGCCGACAGACTTCGAAAAGTTGGTAGAAGGCGGCTATCCCTAACCTCAAATTCCCATGCACCACACCCCCCCCCCCCCCCCCCCCCCATATCTGACGCCGTAAACTCGCACGATGTTGTCTACGAACCTGCACCCCAAAAACATTGTGTTCCACCGCCCTCTGCGACGGACGGCATTGTCACGGCCACTAGGCTGGTCCCCATCTATCGCTTGTGGAATATCCACATTCCCGAGACAGGGGTCAGTATATCCGCAGGACAAGCACCGTTTGCGGCCACAAATACGGCACTTCATTTATTGACTTCGTAGATATCTGGGGTTGCCTCCTGTGTGGGTTTGATCCGGACAGTCTAGGAATTGGCATCTGGGTTCGAGCGGCATATTGTGCCGAGTCGTATTTGCAGTAAACTGCACAGTTTTGATCATTGACCAAGGCTGACTAAAAATAAAACTGTCTGGGTCTGGCCTGTGGATGCAAGTGGCGGCCGTACAATTGTGGCGTTGCGTTCCCGTTGCGCCAGGCAGTGGGGTGAGTCCCGCAACTGTACAGCCGGCAAGTTGGCCTCGCTGGCGCCAGATCAGCGGCTTGGTTTCGTCGCATGTGTGATGACAGGCGATCCATCAGTGGGCATTTTGGCCGAAACTCACGAGGTCGAGTGAGAGAAAGGGAAACGAAAAGCCCCAAGACTGCCACGCAACCAAAGCATTCGGTGTTTCTGGTTGAGATGGGAGTTAATATTGTGTGTAGAACATATTTCCGTGAAAGACGATTTTGGTGAAATGGTTGGCAATGTTTTGTTAAACCAAGCATTGTCAGTTTAACGCCGTGCCAAGGCAGACGCTGCTCGGCGTTTAGACTCTGCGTGCTGCTGTGAAACTGCGGAGTTATTTCGGTGATTCCACTGCACCGCTGCAGAGCCTGGCTTCCAGTCGGGGTTAAGCTGCCTCTGATTAAAACCAAGTTCTCGAGTGTAGCGAGTTGATTGTGGACCATTGGTGGTTTCCACCGCTCAACGCCTCTCTATTGCTCGAGCGATCAAATGGAATGGCTGTCATCTCTGTTAGCAGACCCTGAAGCCAGTAGTGGGTAGGTACCATAATTGAAGAAGAAAGAAATGTCTGTATCGCGCTTACTAGGTGTGACGCTCAAAATGCGATGAGTGCTCTTGGCGGAGCAAAGGAGAAAGGCTCGTGTCTCACAGGAGTTGAACAAGAGTCGCGTTCGAGCCACTTCAGAGCTGATGCAATTCCCCGTGATCATTCCCCGACGCCTTGTAACGTTATGCCGCACGATGCAGGGAGTTTCCAGCGGACGTTCCTCCTTCTTCTTCTCCTTACAGCACAGTAGGCATACCGGGACAATCGGGGGAGTTCAAGCATCGAGTCTGGCGTGCCAACCCCGTAGCATTCAGCAGGGACAGCGCTGAGGAATCGGGGCAGGCAACATCGTAAGCTGCGGTTCGTTAAGCGCTCGTCCACGTGCTCGCGTGTCAACTGCGGCGCTCCGGCCAGGTGGGTGCCCTAAAACCGTCAGAGTCTGATGTGAGAGGGCAATGAAAGCTCGTGTAATTCCCTGCTGTCCCCACCGCCTTCAAAGCCCCGGGGGAACACTGGGCCACGCGTGGCGTCGGCAAGCGCGTTTCCCCTGCTGTTGCTGCGCGGCGCCGTTGGGGCGGAGTCGCGACGAGCCGCGCGTCGCGCTCACCGAGGGGAGCGGCTCGTTAATGGGTGAGCTCGTTATTGAAATCCCGTCGACAAAATAACAAAAAACGGGGGCGCAGGAGAAGCGGGGAATGTGAAATGCATGACCACAGCGGGCGGTGTTGAGGCTGATGTTGGTCACAAATGAAGGCCGGATTTCAAATGTCTGGAATCCTGACAAAACCGCATGCCAGCTCTCCGGGAAGCAACATAATTATCGGAAAGCATAAAACAACATTAAATAGTTTCTGTACACACACACACACGCAAACATCCTAATGTTCCACGCCATAAAGACCTCACCACTATTGTCATGAACATTGGCTCATAACAGAGAAAAACATTAGTGTTAATGTTTTGCCTCTTCCACTCTCGCTTTCCAAAAGTTCCAGTGCCTGAAGTGTTCATGTAATGTTCGTTATTATCCTGTTACAGGGCACCAGTAATGGTGGTGGTGGCGAGATGCCTCTTGGTCTGTGGGTTCCCACCGCTGCTAACGCATTCCCTGAAGCTCTGCCTAATCTTCCTGTGCCATTAGCCCTCCAGTGTGGTTATTCCCTGGGTTTATGGCCGGCGTGGTTCAAGTAAAACAGAGAGAATAAAAATATTAGTCATCATCATCACCAGGACGATGTGCTGTCTCCAGAGCCGTGCTGACAGGACGAGGCGTGGACGGAGAGAGGACTCCCCGGAGTTTAGGGAACCATCTGCGCAACGTAAAAAACTGGCCTCTCTCCGTCCTCGCGGGCCGCGGCGCGACTCCCGCTTCGACGCGACCGAGCTTTGTGCCGCAGTTTTGCATTTGAAGCGACGTGCAAACGCGTACAGAAAGCACCCGGGGCCCTTCGTGCATGATGCGGTTCCCCGAAAAACTGCATCGCGGTCTTCTTCTGTTAGGTTACCATCGAAATACATTTGAGCAAACGTGATTGACTGGCGGTTTGCGACCAAAATGTTGAAATATGCAAATAATATACGCAAATAAATTAGAGTAATTGAAAACGCACATGTGACCGCGACGTCACAAGCCATGCAATGCTTGTGCCGGCTCCTCCGTGCTCGTGAGCGCAGCCACCCTGCACAGTGATCGTGCAGAGCTAAGAGCGGGCGTCGTCTATCCTGCTCAGCGCTCGCTCTGCGTGCGAAGCACTCGAGTCGCGTTTGGGAGGACAGGCATCGGCACAGAACGAGCAACTTCCAACGCGGATGTCCACCAGGCTGAGGTAGGCTGCTTGCCGTGTGGATTATCGAGCGGCTCACTGTGTGGCTCATTTTGTGGCTCACCGTGTGGCTCACTGCATGCTTCATGGCAGCAGGTGGCTACGATGCAGCAGCAGGAGGAAATGTTCTCAGCTTCTAAGGAAACTCGCATGAAATAACACATCAACGGAATTACCTATTTGGCAAGGTCTGGCCTTTGTTGCACAAAAATAACAATGCTAATATTAGTTGTTAGCAGCAGCTCCGTTTTAAAGAGTATTCCACCGCTCACTTTCGAAAAAATGTCCATAAAGATTTGCAGACTCACGATACACCGAAGAAAATCCATTTAAATAAAAAATAAACCCAGTGAGTTACCACGGTACATTTTCAGCCGATATAATGGGCTTGTAAATTTCATGACACATGCTCGAGCTCCGTGG